TAACTACACTACTAGATAGCATGCGAGAGGCGATACACGCCCTGCGTTGCATCTTCTGGTGCCTCCGAGGTACGCAAAACACGCGGATTGATCAGACCGTGGTAAGCCATCCCGTCCGTTGTGTATTTGCATATTGGCTTTTTCGCGCTCTAGCTTTGCAACGGAGCAGTTTCAGAGAAAACCCCACATATTTTCTGATCTTCGTTGCCCGTTAAGCAGGTCGTATCCTTTATGAGACGAACGGACACTCGAGAAGTGAGATTGAGAGTAACAGACAGACACACGGACAGTACCCTGGCTGCCGAGGGTAATGAAAAGCACTGAAGTGCAAACCCTCGGCGCATTGTGATACGCACGCGTAAGTAAACGCATGCGCAGTACAGCTAATTGATGGGCTGGGTTTAGTTTTAGCTGTTACTCGTGGTCTCTTCCCAGCTCGCGCAGAGTCTGACGCGGGCTAACTACACTACTAGATAGCATGCGAGAGGCGATACACGCCCTGCGTTGCATCTTCTGGTGCCTCTGAGGTACGCAGAGCACGCGGATCGATCAGACCATGGTAAGCCATCCCGTCCGTTGCCTATTTGCATATTGGCTTTTTCGCGCTCTAGCTCTGCAACGGAGCAGTTTCAGAGAAAACCCCACATATTTTCTGACCTTCATTGCCCGTTCAGTAGGTGGTATCCTTTGTGAGACGAACGAACACTCGAGAAGTGAGATGACGAGTAACAGACAGACACACAGACAGACACACAGACAGACAGACAGACAAACCCAACTACCGTAACCTTCGCTGCGCATGCGCGCCGAGGGTTAACTACGCTGCGCATGCGCGCCGAGGGTAAATAAAAGTCTTTGAAGCTGTATATAGGTTATGCTGTGGAGTGGAGCCAAAGCAGTTGAGTTCACTGAGATATGCATGAGACTTGCTAGTGCATGTATTTCATTCCTGAGATGATATAAGGAGCAAAAACAACCAAAATGCGAGAATAAAAATTAGTTCTTGCCTGGGCCCAAGTGCCACATGGGATAATGTTTGCAACTGTGCCAACATAGTCCATGTGGTCATAAAGGAAAGCCCAGGCAACAACTATATTTTTTACCGTTAACATAGCAAATAGCTAACTGTCCCTTTCCTTCAGTGTTGCGTGAGTTTGCTTCTTTGCTGTCAAAAACACAGCTGCACTACTAATAGGGAAGTGGGACACACGATATACATGGCACACTTTTCTGCGATAAGGAGACAAGAAGTCTCAGAATTCACAATGGATCGGATAATAATTATAAAGCTCACGAAAATGGTTCTAGTAGGCAACAAGATATTAAAGAGTGGGTTTCACTGCGCAGCCACCAGGTCAACAGGAATGGAAGCTGGCTCAGCAATACGATTTGAGGAGGAGCGGGCACCCCATAATTATTGTGAGGATGGATGATCAGAGAAGAGCAAATGAGAGACAGCAATGGAGCCAACCCATGGTTGTGGGTTGGCGCCACTTCCAGCAGATCAATGAGGCAAGACATTTGTTAATTATTGTGGCAATGCGACCGAATCCACCAGTGAGAGACTGGACGAGTGGAACTGTATATTTAACTACATTGCATTACCCATGCCCACTCAGTAAAAATGCCTATACCACAAATAACAAAGAGCATAATACTAGCTTAACAAAACCAAGAATATGGACACAAAAAAACTTACAACATTCTGCTTCTTCTTAGCAATCATTGCTTGAGGCTGAGTGACATGTACAAACTGCGCTGTACCATCACCAGGGGAAATACTGGAGACGAAAGTCTCCGTTGTGTTCTCACAGACAGTGTCATCAGTAATTGTGTAAAAGTGCGGGTCTGGCACATGTCTCCCACATGGAATTGTATAGTATCGTCTCTCAGAGCACAATAGAAGAACCTGAACATATATTCAAACATGATTTTACAAATTAAAGTTGTATTACATACGAACTTGCAGTGGCATTATGGGTGTTGACTGTGATTGTGAAAGGTTGTGGAGCTCCTCCTGGTTGGTGAAGAAGATGAATATTAAGCTCCACAATTCCATGACTTTCACTCGTAACGTAGAGGGTCGAGTTGTAACCAAGTGTGATGGTCACTGCAGTTTTAGAAGCACTGTGTTGAACCATATCTGGCAAAATGTAAATGATTAACTCACCATCCCCACCAATTATCTGTACTTGCCCTTGATCTCGACCTAATTGAATTTTAGAGTGAAGATTCGATGTCCTTGTCAGGTTAAATATGAAGAATTCATCAGGTTCATCCACACCATCATCTGTTATGCTGACATTCACACACTTTCTTGTCTCACAGGTATCAAATGTCAGTAGGACATTAAGTGCTCCGTAGTCTGTAGTTTGTACTGTGACCACGGAGTTGTTTGTAAGTAATGAAAAACTTTTGCGTGTCATCTGCAGTCTGATCTGTTCGATTTTAAGACTGGGAGTTTTACCTGCAGTTCCATCTTTGGTTGATAGTCCAACATCAAACGGAAACTCCACTGGACAGTTAATGAGTGGAGATGTTATTATTGCACACACCTCAACCACACCAACACTCTCTATCACATTAAAATAAGTCTGCTGCAGACCCACCCGGCTTGTGTATATTGATAAAACACATTAATTCTTGTTTTTCAGATATATAGCAAACCATGTTTGCCATATTTATCTATACTGCAATTTTATTACCATCATTATCCACTCTAATATATCATTCCATTTGCTGGGTTAAATTAATTATGGCATTAAAATTGACTGTTCTTGTCAGAGAATAGCTTAAAACTCCTCCACCTCACTGATATTGTCATTTGTTGCAGTGACATTGACACAGCTTCTAGTGTCACAGGCATCAAACGACAACAAAGCATGTGCTGCCTTCAAGTCTATGGTGTCAACTAGGGAGGGAAAAAGCGATATCAGAGGATGACACTAAATGTAGCTACCTGCAGTACCAGATGCAGTCCCGAACATAACTTCAAATTGTATACAGCACATATTTCCACCGCACCATCATCTTCTGATATTTTGACAAATGTGGTTTCTAGGCCAACTACTGCTCCTGAATAAAAAAAAAAGAGGTTTAAGCAGTTAACAATGGGGAATTATAGTGAATGACATACTGTCATTGTCCAGAATTAAGATCGCCACATCACCCCTCATTGATCTTAACTGTGGTGAATTCATTACCAACTTCCAGTTTAAGTCCAGCATATTCATCACACTCTAAATTTAGGTCATCATAAATGGTCTGATTGACACAGATGATCCTCGTTGATTGGCTTATCCGAACATCTTAGGGGCTTTTTCAGGCCTTTGTAATGAGCGTAAACTGAGAGAGGTAGGGGAGCTTTTGCAAAGGCTCAAGATTGGTGTAGTAGCTTGTCAGGAATCTTGGGAGAGGGAGGGAAAGGCAGATGCTGTGGATGGCTATAGATGGTTTGGAAAGCCTCGTGAGAATCAGAGTAGTCGTATAGGGGAAGGAGGGGTTGGGTTCTTGGTTCGGGAGTGCTTGATAGACAAGGTAGAGTTTGTAAGTAAAGTCAGGTATGAGGAGAGCGTGTGTATGAAGGTTTGAGGTGGGAGAGGGAGGGAAACATTGTATATGTGTTGCATTTACATGCCTACAGATAGTGCTTGTTCTTCTGTCATTGAGGATAGTTACGTCAAGTTGACGGAGGATGTGCTTGGATTGATGCAGAAGGGGAGGGTTGTTCTTCTTGGTGATTTTAATGCGAGGGTGGGTAGATCTACTGATGTTGATGATGTCATTGGGATGTTTGGGGAGGAGACTTGTAATGCCAGTGGAAATCCAACGACATATTCTTCATCCATTGTCACAATCAGAAAACCTTCAGTGTTGGTAGCAGTGATTAGGATACGTAGCTGTGAGCAGCTCTCATGAAAGCCTCATGGGTTCCTCAGAGTGTAAGACTTGCTCCTACCTCGTAGCATTTCCATTGGGTATAGCTCGAGTTTATTATACTGAGCATGACAGTGTCAGCTTAGACTCGAAATTGCCGACTGAAATCAAGACAGCGCAACTACAACTTACATGTAGCTAACGTCCTGGATATAGGTGTTTCTATGACATCTTTGGGACAAAAAACCCCTCAGTTGATGGAGATAGTCAATGGACATACAGACTGCTTGTGCTGATGGCATCACAAAAAGCAATCCTGTTACTTACGACACCATGTGCCAAAGGCCGAGTTTGATTGTTTTCTTTATGCAAACAGCTATATATTTGAAAGTATATATGCCTCTCCTGTGATGCTCACAGAAATTTATAGCTTTCGTCCAATGCGAACAACAAGGAATTGCTTGTACTAAAACTCATACTTTAATTGTACACATGCACAGCAACTTCCCCATGCTATGTTTAGCATGCATAGATAAAAAATGGTAATGGTGAATGTGCATCACATAATCCAAATGTATAGCTATACTTTTTTCACTACGCAATTTAGCGATTATAACCAAAGTCCTGCAACATCCGCCATATATAACACCCTTTAATACGCCTTGTCAGAGAACCTCTGAAACATGTATATCTCCCTATAAGGATACTTGGTTTTACCCTCTAGACACCTCTAAAAAGGATATTTTGAGTGTCCCCATGGTGCATGTCCCTAGTTCAGTAGTTTCTGTCCCCTTTTCAGTGATTGAACTCTTTCTCATTGTTCTTCCTCCCTCTCCAACTACTCCTCCTCCTCACCTCTCCATACTCACCTCTCAAATTATATTTTCCCTCTCCCCTTGCCTTATACTTCACTGTCTTCATTTTGCACCAAAAACGACACTTAGTACTGACCTGTCCAACGTAGTGAAAATGGTAGCTAGGGAGAAGCAAACCAGGCCAAACTGAGATTGTTTGTGATGGAAGGTGGCTGCCGGTAACGTAAATTTCCACAGCAAAGTACGTATATACCCTTATTAATTAACGACCTTGACGGAGGCCGTAGAAGTCGACGTCATGCAACCTGCGCACTGGCTGGTATAATTGGTGGTCCACACGCGGATCACGTTAGAAAATAGCAAGGCTGGGCTGGAGAGATTTACGATCAAGCTGAGCTAAAAGGTGCAGTGTTATACCTACTTCCGCATTTATCTCATGACAAGAGCCCCACAGCATCAAGAGTTTATAATAGAGTAGTTACAAAATCGGCTTAATACGTAGTAGCTACATGTATCGACAGTGCATGGCTAGCTACCGCGTACACCGCACACCCAGAGCGCGTTAGTATAGAAGACGGAATGTCCAGCATGCGAAACTAGATGCGTAGTATATGTGTATGTTGCAACTAATGGACGTTATACTGGCAGTGGCAAGATATTGCTGCACTCTTGATGTTTGTGCTATCACGCCCTAAAATGCTTATAGTTAATGAGTGTCCTTGAGCCCTGCCCACAAGCAACGTGACTGCCATGAATACCAGTGTAAACCACATTCATATTGACAAGGGGTAATATATTGACAGAATGATGGCAGAAGAAGTGTATCTGTTTTCTGTTGGACTCTTTTCACTGGTGCTATTCGTCCAGTGTGGAATTGATGGAATTGAACCAACAAGCTGGAGTAAGTGTATTATTGATGGATTGAACACTAAGGTTTTCGCCCCCTCCTATACATAGCAACTTCCTCTACATCCTACTGTTACGATGGAGAAGTTAGATTAGAGAATTCAACGTACTTATACGATGGAAGGCGCTCTTCTTATGGGGGGAGAGTGGAGGTGTGCTATAGTGGAGCCTTCTACCCAGTGTGCGATGATGGATGGACATACAATGAGGCAACGGTTGTTTGTAAATACTTTGGCTACGGCTTACCTTACTATCGTAAGCAGTTTGGCATGTCTTGTAATATTCCCTGTGATATTAAACATAACTGTAACAGGCGCTGTTGCTACCGGGGGTGGAGAGTTTGGTCTGTCAGATAATGCTCCCATCTTTCAGAACCTAATGTGCAATGGGAGTGAATACACTTTCAGTGATTGCAGGGGATATGCCCCTAACAACATCGTTGGAGACTACTGCTCAAGTGGCAATCATCAGGCTGGGGTTTATTGCATTGAAGGTATAATGCTCACATTTTGTGACTTCATATTTATTTAGCTAGCTACCTGTTTTTAATTTCCAAGCTTGCAGTTATGGGGAAGTGTACTTTGAAAATGCAACCTATGGGTACACCAATGATAAATATTGGTATGGAGGAAGAGTAGCAGTGTGCTACAACGACACCTACTATCCAGTGTGTGATGAAGGATGGACAGAACAAGACTCAGCAGTTGTCTGCAGTAACGTGTACTACAGAGCTCCATATTATCGTAAGTATAGCACAACAAGATTGACTCGGCCAGCTTCGTGCACTGTGAAGGCATCGGATGATACAGAAAGGGTATCCTAAGCATCCTAATAAAGCAGTGTTGCTGCCTATGTTAATGCAGCTAGCTAGCTCATGAGTGAGTGAAGGAACAAGTGTGTGTCAGCTGTCCTTCAACTTACGTGTGGTTTGGAAAACCAACTGGGTTAAGCCTTTAATATACATGCAGGCTTGATAAACTATGCAGTCATTGAAGATTCCAGACCATTTTGATCAAGCGACACAAATGCTTTCATGCACACTATGTTGTGAATAGGTGCTCAAACATCTTTACCTGGGGAGTTTGGTCTGTCCTACAAGACTCCTATACTTCAGCAACCAATGTGTAGTGGTAGTGAATATTCACTGAAAGACTGCCAAGGATATGACCCCAACAACATAGCTGGAGACTACTGCCTCAGTGGAAGCAACCAAGTAGGAGTCATGTGCATTGAAGGTGTGGCTAAACTGATTATTACAATCGTTGTAAATGGTTTATTACACAGCTTGTTATGATGGACAAATTCGGTTTGGGGATTCCATCTCTTCCTATGATAATGACACGTATTCCTATGGAGGAAGGGTGGAGGTGTGTAGTGGTGATGTGTACCATCCAGTGTGTGATGAAGGATGGACTGACAATGATGCTACAGTTGTCTGTAGGTATATTGGTTATGGCCCTCCCTACTACCGTGAGTTGAAAATCTTAACCATTTTCTGTGAGCTCACTTTGTGTAACAGGTGCTGAAACTGCTGTGAATGGAGAATTTGGTTTCTCAAATGAAACTCTTATTCTTCAGACTCCAATGTGCAATGGGAGTGAATACCAACTCAGTGCCTGTGAGGGATTTGCTCTTGATAATGTCATGGGAAATTACTGCCTCAGTGAAAGTCATCAAGTAGGAGTTGTCTGCATTGAAGGTGTGGCCAAGTGAAATGGGGAGCTACCAATTTTTAATTGTTGTTGATTGTTACTCAGCTTGCTATGACGGACAAATTCGTTTTGAGAACACGAACTACTCCTATGTTAATGGCTTGTATTCCTATGGAGGAAGGGTGGAGGTGTGTAGTGGTGATGTGTACCATCCAGTGTGTGATGAAGGATGGACTGAAAATGATGCTACAGTTGTCTGTAGGTATATTGGTTATGGCGCTCCCTACTACCGTGAGTTGAAAATCTTAACCATTTTCTGTGAGCTCACTTTGTGTAACAGGTGCTGAAACTGCTGTGAATGGAGAATTTGGTTTCTCAAATGAAGCTCCTATTCTTCAGACCCCAATGTGCAATGGGAGTGAGTACCAACTCGGTGCCTGTGAGGGATTTGATCTTAACAATGTCATGGGGGACTACTGCCTCAGTGAAAGCCATCAAGTAGGAGTCGTCTGTATTGAAGGTAGAGGACTTTTACCAATACTTCGTTTCGAAATTGATTTCTGTTACATAGTACCAACCTCAACAACACCTTGCAAGGATGGAGACACTCGGCTGGAAGATGCAACCTATAACTACACAGACAGGGGCTATATGTATGGTGGCAGAGTTGAAGTTTGCTACAACGGAGACTACTACCCTGTGTGTGATGAGGGATGGACTCAACGTGATGCTTTAGTTGTGTGCAACAATGTTGGCTACTATGGTTATAGTGAGTTAGAGAAAACTTTATTGTATCCTTTAATCATGTGTACCTTACTGACAGCTGCTGAGTTGTCTTTTCCAAGGGAATTTGGTCAGTCAGATACGGGTCCCATACTGCAGAACCCAATGTGCAGTGGATCGGAGTACTATCTCTGCGATTGCCCTGGCTTTGCTCTCAATAATGTTGCTGGTGACTATTGCCTTAGTGGAGAGCACCAAGTTGGAGTTTGGTGTATTGAAGGTGAACGACAAAAATTTTTCGGAATTTCATATTCATGTGCTATTAAACAATCAAAAGTGTAATAATGAAAAAGTGCATGTATGTAAGCAAAAATTTGGGACCCTCTTATGTTTAAACCCTGCTTTATTTTGTAATGTGGGAAAATTGGAGGAGATGGTTAATTACCCTGGTGGTATACAAGGCACTATTGAGAATGTAACCTGAAGTTATAATAATATTCATCTTTAAGATTCAACTGCAACGGGAACTACATCTTGCTATGATGGGAGTGTTCGTTTGGAGAACTCAACTTACGGCTATTACAATGGCACTTATCTGTATGGAGGCAGAGTCGAAATTTGTTACAATCAAACATTCTACCCAGTTTGTGACCAAGGATGGACTGACAATGATGCTGCTGTTACATGCAGCAACCTTGGGTATTACTACTACTACTATCGTGAGTTGCTTCGACAAATGGAGTCTTTATTAATGGTTGCCAAACAGGTAGTGAAGCAGCAAATGGACAGGAGTATGGTCTGTCAGATGAAACACCGATATTGCAGGCACCAATGTGCAGTGGAACTGAGTACTACCTCTCAGAGT